CGTACCTGTGACTGTGCAGCGCCCCGTGGTGATTTGGGGTAGGGGGCACCCTGACAATGGGACCCCTCCCCCATTATTCTCTCTGTCCAACCCCTCCCTCCCCCTGGAGCAGCTCCAGACCTATCCCTCAACCCCATGATCCCTCTCAGCCTGGGCTAAGAGGACGTGAAGTGGTTGGGAGGGTTTCCAGGCCCCTTACAACATCCCCAGAAATGGGGTGGTAAGGTGGACTTAACCTGATCCAGCCCTGCCTCCCTCAATCAATCCAGCCCCTGGGCTGTCTGTGTCAGTGGTTTCCGGTCTTTTTTTTTTTTTTCTTTTTCTTTTTTTTCTGGTAAAATATTTTGCTAAGAACCAGGTCATTGGAGAGGGATGTAGATGGGGGCAAAGGGGAAATGCCCCCTTCCTCTCCTTGGAAGCAGGTGGTATGAATCTTCAACTGCAATTAAAAAGGAAGTGATTTTGTCTAGGGGGTGAGCTGCTGGTCTGTGTTTGAAGAGTTGGGTCAGGGAATGGTGGTCTAGGTGGGACTCTGGGGTCCAGAGAGGGTGGGCCAGAGGGTACCTCTCACTGGGACAGGTAGGCATGGAGGTGATTGGTCAAATCATTGTGTTTGTCAGTGCCTGGTAGAAGGAGATGGGCAGGTTGGAGCAGTAATGGAGGTTATTGACCCCCAAGATGGAAGCATTCTGGGAGTGGGGCATGATACATAGATGAAAGGGCAGGCTGTGGGGTAGGGGGAGCCTGGAGAGGTGAGAAGATTTGGATTCAAATCTTAAAAACCAGGCACTTCACTTTATAGCTGGGTGGATTTGGGTGGGTTATCTGGGTGGCATCTGTTTATTTATAAGTTGGGAAGTATCAATACCTGTTCAAAGGGTATGTGATAAGTGCTGGAGCCCCAGCATGACTGGCCAGGGCCAGCCCACTCACCTTGAGTACTAGGTAACAGGAGTAGAGTTTACTGGCTTATAGTAGGGATTCTTCTAGCCCTGTCAGGAAGTGTACCGGAGGGAAGGGACAGGAGGGCTGACTGCAGAGGTCTCTGGTACCGATACCCAGCTGGTGCAGGCATTTGCCTACCTACACATCATGTATCCCCAATAGCATAGTGGATTATTAGCTGGGCTGCTAACCCCAAGGTCAGCAGTTCAAATCGACCAGCTGCTCCACAGGAAAAAGATGAGGCTTTCTGCTCCTATAAAGATTTACAGCTTCAGAAACATATATAGGGTTGTTAGGAGTCGGAACCAACTCGGTGGCTATCAGTACTACCCCCCACCCCATGTAGGACCGTCCAGTCAGTGCTGTAGAACTGCATGGCTGCAAGGCTCAGCACATAGCTGGCCCTTTCCTTGTGTGTAGAATGGGTTGTACATCATCCGTCTTGAGGAAATCAGAGGACTCACTTTGTCTTCTGGTAGAGTTTGTTCTCACCTGTTGGAACCAACCCAATCTCACAACAACATTCAGCTGCAGGTATGCACTGAGCTTACAAACAAGGTGTGGTCACAGCACCGGGTCCAGGAGGGTCTGACTGTGCACAGACCTAGACTGAGCAGCCTGACCTAAGTAGGGTCCAGGGGTTCAGGAAAGGCGTACTGTGGGTGCAGGAGCAGTGACAGGTACAGATGTAGGTTTACGCTGGGAATTATAGCAAGAGGAAAAGGGGCAAGTAACAACAAAACAAAACAGGATCTCTCCTTCAGCTCAGAACCCTGGACTCCCTCACTTCATCTCCACTTTCTTTCCTGGTGCCAAAGACTTGCCCTCTTCATCATCCCAAACTTAGGCAGTATGAGAGTAAGGGGAAGAAACAAGGACCCTGAGAAAATGAAACTACCTGCAGTGAGAGCCACAAGCCTTTAGTTTCCAGCCACCAAAGTTGTTACCCTACAGCAAATCCCAGACACCAGTAAGCCAGTTGATTGGTTTGTAAAATCTAATGGACAGCAGCATCCTTAACATGGTAGGGAAATGTAAAGGGTGGTGGTGAATAGAGAATCAAAATATCAAGTTATTCAAACTGTCAAAGTAGGACTCTAGGTCTCCCTGGGTAGGTTTGTTCCCCTTGACTTCCCTGCTGCATTTACAGCTCACCGTGGGATTCCTGCTACCCCCCCCCCCATCTTCCTCCCAGCCCCTCTTGGTTGCTGTCTGCCACATGCCCTGCTCCCCTCCCTCCTTTCATTTGCCTTAGTACTGCTTAGTACGTTGGCCTTTCCCCTGGGAATTTTAACAAAAGGCAAAGGAATTTAAAAAGTACAAACTGATTATATATATATATAAAGGCTGCCAGAACTCCATTTTGTGATGATGCCAAGATTTCAACTCCATCCAATCAAAACAAATTCTCCTGCCCCCACCTCTCATACAGTAGCTTCTGGTTGGTTTGGGGGAATGCCTTCCTTCTAAGGTGCTTGACTCCAAATACCACATCATCTTTTCAGAATTCAGGAATTGGTTTCTAATAAAAGTTATGGAGCTTTTACTGTGAACCAGAGCATGGTACACTGCCACTAACCCTTCACCCAGGAGGCAAGGGTTAGCATCCCAGTTTATCAGTGAGAAAACAAACTTGTTTGCGGTCCCATTACTAGTAAGTGGAGGCTAAGGATTTGAAGCCAGCACTAAGTATAGCTGCCCTTGAGGCAGTTTGTTAAGATCTACAGGTGAAGCATCCCTTCCCTGTGACAGAAGTAGATCTGGGGAAGCAGGATTTTATCACTCTACTATGAAAAATACAAGTAGAAGACACCAATTCCTCACTTGACTCGATTACCTGACATTTGCATTTACAATAGTAAACAGTCGATTTTGCTCATTTAGCAATTTATGTCTGGCAATAATGAATGCCAAGGTGCAAGAGTGACACTGGCTTTGACAGTTACAGTTCTGTTTCAATATTGCTGGACCGTCTCAGTGGTTTGGCAGTTATGTTAATGAAATTGGGCAGTTATGCAATCATGTGGTCATCCTCCATTATGGCATAATGAATATTTTTGCACAAGGACCTGGTCTTCGGAACCTAACTAGGTCCCTAAGTGAATATTAATACACAATAAGCATTAATCTACATTCAGCAAGAATAAGGCCAGTCTCATACAACTCCCTGCAGTTAACAACTGAATCCCTCAGTTTCCACTGTTGGAGGCCTAGGAATTTCATACTGGTAGCGTAATGGTTACGAATTGGGCTGCTAACCTCAAGGTCGACAGTTCGAAACTACCAGCCGTTCTATGGGAGAAAGATGAGGCATTCTGCTCCTGCAGATTTATAGTCTTGGAAACCCTGTGCAGGGTCACTGAGTCGGAACCGACTCCACGGTACTTAACAACAATCCCCTTCTTATGGTTCTTTCACTGGTGTAGTTTGTACTAGGCTACTGACAAATTGCCAGTTTGAATCCACCCAGAATTGCTGAGGAAGAGAAGCTTGGCAATCTGTTTTCCTAAGATTCCAGCCATTGAAAACCCTATAGGGTGTAGTTCTACCTGACACACACACAGTAGGTATGATTTGGAATCAACTTGATAGCAACAGGTGTCTTATTCCTTTCTTACCTTGTGAGTCAGTAGTCTTCAGCAGAAAGGCTATACATCTCAGAGATGGGAAGCCTGAAGAGAGAGTCTCCACCCATCCCTGCCTTTAGTTGGGAGACCAGAAGGAGGAGGGAGTAGCCACACCTGCACTTGGCAGTGGGGAAGAGACACCAGATGGGAAGTCTACTCCCAGGCCTTGCTGCCCTTGGCACATTAGGAAGCTGGCATGTGTGGGCAGCAGCACTCCCTTGGGCATAGCCAATGCTAGAGAAGGTCTTTCCTGGAAATGCTGAAGTGGTATACTCCACTGGGTATGGGGAGGTGGGTGCAAATGCTGCAGGGAGAGTGTTCCAGTGGAAGGATGGTCTCCATGGTGGGGTAACTGGTGTGTGCATTTTGCCTTACAGAGTGTAAAAGGAGAGAGGGTGGGGAAAGAACTGATGCCAAAGGAGGCAAAGAACAGAAATGAACAAATCAGGAAAAGGGAAGATGAGTACTACCAGTGTTTCAGTCCTTGCCAAGCCAGTCTGCTTGGTTTATCCATCCTGGACCTTTCCCGTACTCCTCAGCTCCTAGTGATACCAGCTTGAAGATGTGTGGAGTAAAAGAATAGTATCGGTGCAGTTAGACCGTGCACTTCACCCTGAAGAGAATGCCAAGCCTCATCTGGACTTGAGTGCCCACCCCACTCCTCACAAAGAGAAAGAATGATGGCTTGATGGTCCAGTTCTTTATTTAGAAACCTGATTGTTCAAGAACATGGTGGGGGTTCTGCACCCTTTTTCACTGGGATTGGGTCAGAGGTGGCAGGCAGTTTCCTCCTATTTCTTCAATAACAGAAGTTTCCTCACCTCAGAAACAGTTTGTAGAACAATGTGATCAGGGAAAGGGAGAAAGAAATCCTAAAGCAATTCCAGGGAAAAAAGAGGTAAAGTGACTCCAAACAATAAAAACCCATTGTCATCGGTTGAGGCAATTCTGATTCATAGTGATCTGGTAGGACAAAGTTGGACTGTCTGTTTCCAAGGCTGTAGTCTTTATGAAAGCAGATCACTCCTTCTTTCTCTCATGGTGTGGTCGGTCGATCTTTTAGTTAGCAGCCGAGTGCTTTAACCACTGCACCACCAAGCTCCCCAAGCAGGGGCAGGGGATACTCTTAACAGGGGTAGGCGTTTGGGGGCATTTGCCTTCTCAGGGCCTTCTTATTATTCTCCCTACCCTACTCCACCCAAAAGACCTTACAGTATCTCTAGGTAGAGCGGGGAAAGAGCCAACAAGCTGCAAGAGTACACTGGGCAACGGCTGCCTGTGGAGGAAAGGAAGCAGATGTGGGTCAAATCCCAGGAGAATGAAAATTGCAGGCCTGCTGAGGCCCTCAGGGAGCCTCTCAACAGGAGCACTAACAGCCACCCAGTAGGCCCTCCACACCCCTAGGGCTGGAGCCCAAGAAGACTGTAGCTCAGCACCACTCTGTGGTTTTTGTCTTCAGGGACCCCAGGTGGGATGGAAGGGAGGGGAGTGAGGGAGGCAGGTCCAGTCTAGGAAGATTCTAGACTCCTCGGAGGGTCAGCTGCGGTGGTGGTGGTCTCAGAAGTCAAACTCGTCCAGGTCCCCTGTGCCCTCTCCATCCTGAGAGCCCCACACCCGGCGGTAATTGCTCTCCAGCTCTTTCTGCCTTTGTCGTTCTTTCTGTGCTTCTTCAGCTCCCTGCACCTGGGAGGAATGGGTGAGGGTGAGCCGCAGGATCAAGGACAGCCAGCCTCCAGAACCACTAGCCTCAAGGTACAAATGAGGAGGCTCAGCCACACCTGTGTGGCTCTAACCCCGTGCTCTTGGTGCCACAGCATGTTAGAGGCCGGGGTCAACTGAAGGGCAGGACTGGGCATGGGGCGCCTCTCACCAAGATATTGAAGAAAATCTCCTTGAGGTTTTTTGTGTCCTCATCAGTAAGCCAACGTGTGTCCTCCTCAGTCCCTTCGGCCCCTGGTCGGACAATTTTGATCTCAATTTTACCTGGGAAGGAGCAAAATGAGTGGGCAGTGAGAGGAAAAGAATGCTGGGAACTTCAGTGCCGCCCAGACCCCCAGTCCCTCCAAGCCTGGCCTGGAGCCCTTCTGACAGCTCAGAGACCAGCCCCGCCCTCCAGGGCCCACCTTCAGCTGTGAGTCCCTCCCTCTCCAGCAGCTCTTTCACCAGCCCCTCGATTTGTTTCAGCTGTGGGTTTTCCCGTTTCATCTCGAGGACAGTCAGATCCTGATTGGGGCCTCCGTGATGGAGCCTGGTGACCCGGACCCGGACTCTGTGCTCAGGATCCTCCTCTTAGAGGGGCAAACACATAGGGAGACACAAAGCAGAGCCATGACTCCCTGGGTTAGGGTCAGTGGCCATCACAAATGGTTTGGGCAGCTATTCTGTCCCTAACACATACGTGAGCCAAGGTTCAATACAATCATGCCCCCAAGTCCAGTCTACAAAGCTCCCCTCCATCAGCTGCAGCTTCCCGTCTTCCCTCCCTACTCAATCATTCTGCTCATTACCTACAGGAGAACAACTGTTTTCTGAAGCAAACATTAGGCCACCTGGGCTGACTATGCAGTTTGTTTTATAGAGCCAGGTTAAAAAACTGTGGTTTGGTCCTTGACATGCAGGAACTTTAAAGACATTTCAGTGATTAAAGACACTGTTGTTACGTGCTATCGAGTTGGTTCCTAGCGGGATGGGACGTTTGAAACTGAAGTGTTCTAGGACACATGGAATGAATGATTGGTCTCCACAACCACAGGACTATGTGGAATGGACCCAGCGGCTGCAAGAAGGCATCATTTCACATCTGTCCACACAGCTGGCTGGCCTAGTCATACTCTGGCTGCTGGGACCTCTCCCAGGGCAGTCCTATTGTTGATAGGCTGCATCGTTCCTACATGTGTGGTTTCCAGCATATGGGTTTGGTGGTGGTGGCTATGTGCCGTGGAGTCGGTTCCAACTCATAGCGATCCTGTACAGGATTTCCGAGGCTGTAAATCTTTACGGGAGCAGAAAGCCTCATCTTACTCCCACGGAATAGCTGATAGTTTCAAACTGCTGACCTTTAAGGTTCACAGCCTGATTCGTAACCACTACACTTCAATTCCTCCCTACCCATGACCCACTATGTGCCAGGCAAGGTGCTAGGCACTGGAAGTAAGGAGTCAATAAGAAAACCAGATAGATGTGCTCTAGAAGCTGCTTCCTAAAAGGATGAATAGGAGGCCAGTCACACAAAGGGGTGGAGGCCGTGGGAAAAAGGTGACAGTGAGAATCATTTTTCCAGACACAGGGAAGAACAGTCCAGAAGAGAAAGAACACAGTGCCCTTCAGGAACAACAGAGCTGAGAGAGAAAGACAGCAGACTGGCCTGCTCCTTCTTCCTTCACAGCTCTCACCTGTAGGCTGTGGGGAAGGGGTAGGTTTTTTGGGAACAACCCTCCTTTTCTGGCGCCTCTTCACCAGCTGTGGACTCTGTTTTTCCTCCAGCCTTTTGATGAGCTTGTTGAGAGTGGATGTAAGGGCTAGCATTGCCCGATCACGCTCTGACTCCTTCTTCAGCCCATCTGGGTCAAGTTCCTTCTCTGTCTGAAATGCCCAAGAGGGTGTGGAGAATCAGTGGTCTGGGGAGCAGAGAAAGCCCTTGGCTCATCCTCTATAAACCAAATCCAAACTTGTTACTTCTGATTTGGACCTCGTGTTACAGAGCAGAACTGCTTTCACACGGTTTCCTTGGCTAGAATCTTTATGGCAGGTTGCCAGGCCTTTCTTCTGCAGCACCAGTGGGTGGGTTCAAACTGCCAACCTATAGTAGTCAGGTGCCACCCTGGGATGCTCATACTCTCTAACCCACTGCCATTGATTCGATTCCAACTCATAGCAAACATATAGGCAGAGTACAACTGCCCCCCACAGGGTTTCCAAAGCTGTAATCTTTGTGGAAGCAGACTACCACTTCTGTCTTCCCACAAGTGCTGGTAGGTTTAAATCAAACCGCCAACCACTATGACACGGTACCTTCATACTCTATACCAAAACAACAACAACAGAAACCCCACTGCTGGCAAGCCAGTTCTGAGTCACAGCCACCCTATAGGGCAGAGTACAGGGTATGAAACTGTAAATCTTTACAGGAAAAGCCAGCTTCATCTTTATCCTATGGAACAGTTAAGACGTTTAAACCATACACCTTGTAGTTGGCAGCCCAGCGCTTAACCCATGGCACCACCAGAATTCAATTCATACTCTATAAATTAAAAACAAAAAACAAAAACCAAACCCACTTCTGTGAGTTGGTTCTGACTTACAGTGATCCGAGGCTGTATATATTTATGGGAGCATAGAGCCTTATCAGTCTCCCTTGGAGCAGCTGGTAGGTTTGAACTGCTGACCTTATAGTTAGCAGTCCAGTGCTTATCCTATAGTACCACCAGATTCCTTTCATACTCTACACTGTTGTTGTTATTAAGTGCCATTGAGTCAGTTCTGGCTCTCAGTAACTCCACATAGTGTTTCTGAGGCTATAGATTTTTGCAGGAGCAGAAAGCCTCATCTTTCTCCCAGGGAGCAATTGGTGGGCTTGAACTGCCAACTAAATGTCTAATATCAAGTTTCTCATCCTTTTCTCCAATCTCCCCTCCCCACTGTCCCCTTTTTTAGTCAAAAAAACCAACTACCAGTTCTCAGTGTTGTCGTGTCCTGTGCTATAAAAGACGCTTCACTCTCTTTAGTTCCTCCCTCGGCCCACATGTGAAGACAGCTGCTGCAGTGACAGGAGTAAGAGCCATGCTCACCTCCTTCATAATGTTCTCCAGTTCCCGCTCCATGCCAGCCTTCACCTCTGAACGGAGCTGCTCTCGGTCAGACGGGAGCAGTATCCCTTCCAGTTCCTTCTCAAATTCTCCTAGTAACTGCTGTTCATCCTCATCTTCCTCTTCATCCTCCTCCTCTTCTTCTTCTACCCCACTCTGCTGTTCTACGTCATCACCCTTTTCCTTTACCTCAGGGTCCCTTTGAGGGACTTCTTCAGCATCATCTGCAGGCTGCTCCTCACCCAAGTTTGGCTTCCCCTGGAGTGCAGGAGGGGGGGAGAAAGAGGTAGACTGTTGGGGTTTCGGTAGACACACATGGTCATGGTTGGGGGCAGACAAACATGGTAGAGGCATGGTAACAGGGAACTCAAGAGAACTAAATGAGGGGCCAGCTCTTTTGGTCCTAGTTCAGGCCCAGGACAGTAAGTGCTCCCAGCTGGGAGGCAGGTTTCAGGCCTCCCTGAGCAGGGCGCATACCTTTTTTGCTCCACCTTTCAGCTCCTCTATCAATCGAATCAAGTCTGCAGGATTCCGGATGACTTTGACCTGCACGTTGTTCTGAAAATCTGAGATAAAAGAATAGGAGTGGATCCTGTGTTCTGAATTCAGTATTGATTGCCTAAGGAAAGGTGATGGGGAGACCGAAGAAGGATGTGGTCCCTGCGCCCGGGAGCTACTTGTCATCAAGATGGGCCAAAACACACCCCTACAGACAGCACTGTCCTAAGGGGGGCTCACAGGTGGGAGAGAAGGATGCTAACAAACTGCAAATCCCCTGTTCTTTCACGTACAGTTTCTAGGACTACAGAAGTGATTCTGGGGCTAAGGGCTCTTCTTCCTCAGATCCTGTTCTCCCCTGTCCATAAACATTAACCATTTATTGAGTGTCTGCTCAATTCCAGGCATTTGTTCTCATTTAATCCTCTAACGTAGAGGCTATACCCCCATTTTATGGGTTCAGGAAATTAAATTTAAGTAGAATCACCCAGGATTAGAATGTCAGCAAATGGCAGAGCCACTGTGATCTACTACCTCCCTAAAAGAGCATTAGTGTCTACAGAGTATTTACTCCTGTGAAAATGAATCTGCAGCTACCGTGGTAGCTCAATCCCCCTCCCCAAGTTTAGCTCCAGCCCCTCGCCTCCCTCCCCAGCTTAAGCTACATCCAAATAGTAAGGAGATGGGCTGATTGTGGGGGGCGGAGGGGTGGGGGTTGGTGCTGACGGTTGGTTCACTTGCCATCAGGAGAACGCGGAGCTGGATCTGCTGCCTCCATGTTTGGTTCCCGCTCCTGCTGAGGAATAGAGCACAGTCGGGTGCATAAGCTGCTATATGCCAACCACATACTGACCTCAGCTAGTAACCTTCCCCATCCCATCCCAAAGCCCAGGTCCAGATGCATCAGAGAAATGGAAGCTGTGTCTCACCTCAGCCTGTGCCTCCTGCCCTCCCAGGACCTGGTCCTCTTGCTCATGAACCATCTTCCAGAAATCTGATTCCTTATTGTCCTCCTTGGCTGGGCTTGTACCTGGGGTACAGAGAATAGGGAGGGATCTGAAAGGAGGGGAGAAACGGAAGGGGGCAAACAGAATGAACTCTCCTCTCCTCCTCTATTACTACTAAGGGTTCATACTGTCCTCCCTCCACCCACAACACTCAGGACACAGGATAAGAATTGGAAGGAGGGAAGAAATGGGGTGCGTTTTCCAGAATAAGTGAAACAAAGTCCTACCTTCTCTCTTTGGGGGTGCTGACTCAGACTTGGTCTCACTCCACACTTGGGGATCCAGGTCTTGCAGCTCTATGATTTTGTCTCCATACTGTTTGGAGTCTAGGAGGAACAGCTATTTGAATGGGACTTCTATCTCCTGTCTCCCTTCTATGTCTGTCTCCCTTCCCATACATCTCCTTCCTCAATTCAGTCTTCTAACTACTCACCAGCTTGCTGTTGGATGTAGGCCATGTACTCCTCTGGCTGCAGGGCAGGGTGGCAGAGAATGGCTTGGGGAGCAGCACTGGGTGGGGGACGGAGGAGAGGGTGGAGGCAAAGCCGTGGAGTCCTTATGGTCAACACATAAGAGCAGGACAGAGGCTCATCCACACGGTCGATGTAGTCCCCAGAAATACCAGCACCCTCGTCACACAGGAACTGCCAGGACAGAAAGGGTGACTAAACCATAACTACCACCAATACCTAGATTTTTTCTTAGAACAGCTGCCTTTCATTTAGCATTTACAGTATGTCAGGTTCTGTGAGCACTTTATATACAGTAGCTCACTGATGATCACAAAAACCAGCAAGGGAGGCATCAGTATCTCAGTTTTGTGGCTAACGAAACTTGGTTGCATGCACCCAAATGGACTTGTTCAGGCTGACCAGCTGATACGTAGTAAAGACAGGAATTAAACCCAGGCAGGTAACTTCAGGTAACGAACTGGTTTTTGTTTGTTTTATATCCTTGCTTTTCATAAATATGCTATGTACATATACATGTTGTTGAGTACTGTCAAGTCGGTTCTGACTCATAGTGACCCTGTATAGGCTTTCCAAGGAGCAGCTGGTGAATTTGAAGCGCAGACCACGTAGTTCAAACCAACCTTGCAGTCTAGTGCTTATCCTACAACATCACACCAGGATTCCATTTGCATATACATACAATGGTGATGGTGGTGGTGGTGGTGTGCCCTGGAGTCCGTTCTGACTCATGGTGACCCTGCACAGGGTTTCCGAGGCTGTAAATCTTTATGAGTGCAGAAAGCCTTTCTCCAGCAGAACCGCTGGTAGTTTCAAACTGCTGACCTTGAGGTTGGTAGCCCAACTCGTAACCACTACGCTACCAGAGCTTCTTGTATGTATGTATATGTATTAACCCACAGCGCCACATCAGGACTTCATGGTATATTCAATATTCTTCCCCCAATACAATAATTCAAAGGCACCAGTTCTTCTTTGGTCTTCCTTATTCATTGTCCAGCTTTTGCATGCATATGAAGTGATTAAAAATACCACAACTTGGGTCAGGCACACTTTAGTCCTCAAAGTGACCATCTTTGTTTTTGAACACTTTAAAGATGTCTTTTGCAGATTTGCCCAGTGCAACACATCATTTGATTTTTTAAATTATTTTTTTTTTGGTGTGGGTGAAATTACAGAGTAAGGGCTAGGGTTGGGACTATGACTAGACCTAGGCTAGGCCTAGCACTTCATTACTTGTCAGGTTTATGGTTAAGACTAGGGTTAGTATTAAGAGCAAGGGTTGGGTTAGGGCTAGGAGTAAGGCTTGGTTGAGTTTTTAGGGTTTCAGTTAGGTTTATGTTATTTTTCTTGAAATCTATTTGATTTCTTCTCCATTTGTAAGTTCTCTAACTACATTGTTAGCCAGTTTTGACTTGAAGGTGTTTTGTTGTTGCAGCTGTATCTCTGGTTTTCTATTTTTAGTCTAATAGGTCTGTTTCACTTTGCATATCTAGGTTTAGTATAGATATTGTCACTTACTCTAGTCTCCGGATGGCATCTGCTGCTATTGTTTCTCTGTCCAAGGAACTCCCTTTAGTTTATTTTTATAAGGTTGGTCTGATTTTTAAAAATTCTTTTAATTTCTGTTTGTCAGAAAATGACCTAGTTTTGCCATCATATTTTGACAGTTTTACTGGATATGTGATTCTTGGTTGGCAATTTGGTTTTCAGAATTTTTATATGTCATTCCATTGTCTTCTTGCCTGCTTGGTTTCTGCTGACAAATCAGAGCCTCATCTAATTATAGTCTTATTTTTAAGTAACCTTTTGTTTTCCCTAAGCTGCTCTCAGAATTCTTTCCTTATCTTTGGCTTTGAAAAGTTTGATTATGTCTTGTGTTTTTCTTTTGGGGTCTATCCTGTTTGGATTTCATTCAACTTCTTAAATGGCTATCTTCTAGTCTTTCATGATATTACAGAAGTTTGTTCCAACAACTTTTTTTTTAAGGTTTTTATTGTGGATTGAGTGAAAGTTTTCAGGGCACATCATCGGTTTCACATTCAAACATTCATATACCTTGTTTCATTACATTGATTATAATCCCCTCCACATACCATCAGTTAACAGAGTTTCTCTATATCCTCTTTAGCTTTTTTGGGGGGAAAAACTTTGCCTTTTTGGAATTTACAGTCTCGGCTTTTAGGGAAGGTTTTTACATTTATCTGTGAGTATCCAGGGCTCATGTATGGAATTACTAACCAGCATAACTGAATAATCAGATAAGGGACACTTTGCTATGTCTGCTAAGTGGCTAAAGTCTGATTGTTCCAACAACTCTTGGGCAATATTCTCTATGAGTTTTGTTTTTTTTGTCTCTTCCTGTTCTGACATTCCTATAACCCATTAAGTTATTTCACTTGACAGTGCCCCACATAAACCTTAGACTTTCTTTGGAGTTTTTTTTAATTCTTTTTTCTGATAGTTACTTTAGCAAATGATTATTGAGAGATTTTTCTTCAAACTCAGTAATTCAGCTTTTCATTGATTCAACTCTATTTCTTTGCCTTTTTGTGTATTACCTATTTCTGATCTCTTGATGTTAATGTTCTAGCTTCTAATTGCTGATTTTGTTTGGTTCCATTTTTTGTTTTTAAGTGTGAATTGAGTGAAAGTTTACAGGGCAGATCATCACTTTTACATTCAACAAATCATATACTTTGTTTCATTACAGTGATTATAATCTCTACCATGTACCATCAGTTAACAGTATTTCTTCTCTCTATTCAGTTTAGCTTTTTTTTTTTTTAAACACTTAGGCTGCTTCCATTTTTTCAGCTATTTTGTCAATTTGTTTCCCAATTTTTTCCTATACTTTTGTCGATGTTTTCCTTGAATTCATATGTACTTTTCTTGACCTTTCCCACAACCCACTTATGTTGCCTAATTACCATTCTTTTAAATTTCTTATCAGGTAGTTCTGATGCCAGTTCTGGTGTTTTCTTTTCTGACTCTGTATTCTGGTGATTTGTTTAAGGCACTCTTGTCTGTGTAAACTGAAATGATCTGTCTTCCCCAAGACACTGTAGTACTGTATTTATCTTTAGTTGATGACAGTATATTGGTGTATTTTCAGGCATTTACCTCCTGACGCCTGGTAGAGACCAGAAGTGTGAACCCAGTTAGTTCTCTGTTTACTGTTTGCATAGTGTATTTCAGGGTGGGTGTACACGGCTCTAGAAGCAGGGGTGCTATGCCAGGCATCTGACCTCAGGCAAAGTAGAGGCTGCACAGGAGGGGGTACCACTGGCTAACAATTTGGTGAGGGTGGGGACTGGCTGTGTCCCCATCTACCAGCAGTGCATAGGAACAAGGAATAACTGCACCCCCTTGCCACTAACTTCCAGCTGTGCAATATTCTCTGTGCAAAGACACCAATATAATGACAGCCACTCGCAAAAAAAGCTCAAATGGCTGCATGGCTCCACACATCCACAGTCCGCCAGTTTCCCTTCCAGTCAACACTCAGTTCACCTCTGATGCTCAGGGTTCCAGGCTCACCATCTGTATCTCTGTCACTCGGTTTCTCATGTCTTTGTTGCAGTGTCAGCTCAGTGCGTCTGCTTACTCCACCATCTTGCCCTGAACACCATCATTTGATTTGACTCCTGCTTCCATGGGTATTGATTGTGGATCCAAGTAAAAGGAAATCCTTGACAATTTCACTGTTTTCTGCACTTACAACATTGCTCATTGGTGTAGTTTTGAGGATTTTTGTTTTCTTAAGATTGAGGTGTAATCCAGACCGAAGACTGTAGTCTTTGACCTTCATCGTTAAGTATTTTAAGTCCTCTGTGCTTTCAGCAGGCAAGGGTGTGTCATCTGCATAATGCAGGTTGTTAATAAGTCTCCCTCCAATCCTCTTGCCATGTTCTTCTTCATACAATCCAGCTTCTCGGATTATTTGCTCAACGTGCAGACTGAGCATGTATGGTGAATGGTTACAACCCTGAGGCACACCTTTTTCAATTTTAAACCAAAGCATCTATAACTGGAAAAAACATTTTTTTAAAAAAAAGATGAAGGGGCTAGCCACCCATTACAGGTCATTTAACTAGAACCACCAAATATAGTACGTGAACCTTATTTGGATTCTGTTTCAAATAGGCCAACCATAACAAAAGAGTTAACTAGGAAAATTTAAATATATTAAGGAATTATTGTCAATTTGTAGTGTGATAAAGCTTGTAGAAAGGAGCTCTGGTAGCGTAGTGGTTACGAATTGGGCTGCGAACCTTAAGGTCAGCAGTTTGAAACTACCAGTTGTTCCACGGGAGAAAGATGGGGCTTTCTGCTCCTGGAAAGATTTATAGCCTCGGAAACCCTGTACAGGGTCACTATGGGTCGGAATCAACTCAACAGCACTTAACAACAACAACAAGGCTTGTAGATATATTTTAATAAAAGCCCTTATTTTTAGATGTAAATATAGAGATAATTTATGGATGAAGAGGTCTTGGATTTGCTTCAAAATTATCTGGGAGTGGAGGGAATACAGGGAGGTTGGTAGGGGGATAGATGAAATGAGACTGGTTGTAAGTGTTGAAGCTACATGATACCTGGTGGGTAGTCACACTGGTCTTTCTCATTTTATGTTGTTGTTGTTGTTGTTAGGTGCAATGCAGTCAGTTCCATCCCACAGCAATCCTATGTATAACAGAAAGAAACAGTGCCCAGTCCTGCACCATTCTCACAATTACTGCTATGCTTGAGCCCATTGTTACTGCCACTGTGCCAATCCATCTCACTGGGGGTTTCTCTTTTCACTGATCCTCCACTTTACCAATCATGATGTCCTTCTCCAGAAATTGATCCCTCCTGATAATATGTCTGAAGTAGAGATAAAGTCTGTCCATCTTGGCTTCTAAGAAGCATGCTAGTTGCACTTCCTTCAACACAGATTTGTTTGCTCTTCTGATAGTCTGTGGTATCGTTAATATTCTTCTCCAAAACCGTAACTCAAACGCGTCAATTCTTTTATAGTCTTCCTTACTCATGATTCAAATAGTTAAAAGCCTTTGCATAGTCAATAAATTAGCTGAGGTAAATGTCTTTTGGGTAGTCTCTGCTTTCAATCAAGATCCATCTCTTGTCAGCATTGATATCCCTCCTTCTATACCCTCATCTGAATCCGG